TCCAACAAGTTGAGATGCAAAAGTCCATCTGTGGAAATCAGAATGATGTATCTGGTGGAATGGCAATGGCTGCAAATAAATTCAGTAGAAGTTCAAGCAATCAGAACAAAGCATTTGACAACAACTCCAAAAGGCGGATTACTTGAAGTCAAAATTGGAGAAACAATCACTACTCTGCACTCATTGTGGCAAGACAGGACACTTGATGAAAGATTGTTTTGAATTAAAGGGTTATCCAAATTGGTACAAAGGTTCAAAAAGAAAGAAAAACAATTCTCTGGACTCACGAAACTCAAATGAGAAGAAATTTGCTGGCAACACAAACTATGAAACAAAGTTTAAGGAAGTAGGAGGAAATAATCCTTTTGATGAAGAATTGGACTCAGACTTCAAGGTTCTTCAACAGATTGACATTGCAACTATTCAAGAGTTTCTGAAACAGAGGAACTCATCTAATCCAAGCACAAGTCAGGCTTCCACCAACTTCAGTATGGCAGGTATGATATATGCTTCACAAGTTAATGAAAGTAGAGGTTTCATTAAAGAAAAAATATGGATAATTGATTCAGGAGCATCTGATCATATGACTCATGACCTGGACATACTGAAGAATAAAACATACCTAAACAAGCCTATTAGTGTTGCTTTACCTGATGGGAATGTTAAAAAGGTTGAAATTATTGGTGAAGTGCAGCTATCAAAACAGATTACTCTAAAAGGAGTAATGCATGTTCCTGGATTTCAACACAACCTGTTATCTATAGGTAAACTGCTAAAGAACAGTGAATTGATAATCTATTTTGATGATTATGGATGTTACATTCAGGTCCTTTCATCTGAGAATTAGACTACCATTGGAAGGAAGAGATCTGGACTCTACATCTTTGAAGCTAAGGATGATGTGAATAAAGTAGATAATACTTCTTTTGATTTCAATAATAAACACAATGTAATGACTATAGAGTGTTTAAGGATTAAATATTGTAATGTTCCAGATCATGTCTTACTCATCCACAACAGATTAGGACATACATCTTTGTCAAAATTAAAACATCTTAGCATAGCTGGTGATGTTGAGAATATTAATGATCTGTCCTGTGAGGTTTGTATCTTGGCAAAGCATCATAGATTACCCTTTAAAAGAAGTGACTCCATTGCTTTTAAAATCTTTGATCTAGTTCATATTGATTTGTGGGGACCATATAGGATAAAATCTTTAACTGGAGCATCCTATTTTCTCACAATTCTTGATGATTGCAGTAGAAACACATGGACTTACTTGTTAAGAGACAAAACTGAAGTTCCAAATATCATTTCTGGATTCATTGCTTATATTGAAACTCAATTTGATTCAAGAATAAGAATGATTCGATCTGATAATGGAACTGAAATAGTCCAAACAGTATGTTCTAAGATCTTCAATGAAAAAGGGATTATTCATCAGAAGAGTATTCCCAACACTCCCCAACAAAATGGAAGAGTAGAGAGGAAACATCGCCATTTACTTGATACAGCCAGATCAATAAGAATTCATTCAAAATTGCCTAAGAGATTGTGGGGGGAGTGTGTTCTTACAGCAACTCATCTTATCAATCTTATGCCTTCATCAGTTATTAATGGGAAGACACCTTATGAAGTCCTATTCAAACAAAAATCATCATATGAACATCTTAAGGTTTTTGGTTGCTTATGCTATGCTGCTGTGAAGACATCTGACAAATTGGAACCAAGGGCATGCAAAGGAGTTATGGTAGGGTATCCATTTGGCCAAAAGGGATATAAGGTATATGACCTTGAATCAAAGAAGATTATACTGACTAGGGATGTGGTTTTCCATGAATCAGTATTTCCCTTTGACAAGGATGAATTGTAAGAAACATCAAAAGATTATCCTTTTGTTGTGCCTTCAGGGATATACAATGACTTGAATATCAATGACAATTCATCCACCCACAATGATACAATCTCACATTTCCATGAGACAACTGAAGATACTACAGAAGTGCAGCAAACACCTGTAATACCAGTACCTCAAAGAAGATCAAATAGAACCAGAATCATTCCTCAGAAGTTGCAAGATTATATCTGCAAAGATCTTCCATCTTCTATACTAATAACAGATTCTGCAAATAATTCTACAACCAAACATTTTGCAAATCTGATATGTGCATCCTTAAAGGACTATGGAAATGATTACATAGCTTCATTACCAAATGTAATCTCAATACATGAACCCGCTTCATACAACCAAGCAAAAGAAGATGAAAGATGGATTTTGGCAATGCAGCAAGAGCTAGAAGCTCTTGATTGGTGGCAAAAGGATACAATCAAATCAAAGTAAAAGATTTCAAACATACTTTCAGTCCAGTTGCAAAATTTACAACTGTAAGAGTTCTAATTGCCTTTGCAGCTTCTCAAGGTTGGAACTTATACCAATTAGACATCAACAATGCTTTCTTACATGGATTTATTGATGAAGAAGTGTACATGGAGATTCCAGAAGGTTATAAGCATGCCAAACCAGGACAAGTTTGCAAGCTTAAAAGATCTTTATATGGATTGAAACAAGCATCAAGACAATGGAATCTTGAACTTACTAAGTTCTTAATCAAACTTGGTTATCAACAATCAAAGCAAGATAATTCTCTGTTTATTAAGAAATCTAACAATACATTCACAGCAGTACTTGCTTATGTAGATGATTTATTAATAACAGGGAATTCAGAAGAACAGATTACACAAGTGAAGAATGCTCTCCATACAGCTTTTACAATAAAGGATCTTGGTCATCTACGCTATTTTCTAGGAATAGAAGTAGCAAGAAATGATCAAGGGATCATCTTGAATCAAAGGAAATACATTTTGGATATATTACATGATACCAACATGGTAGATTGTAAACCAACACTATTTCCTATGCCTACAGGATTAAAACTGTCAACTGAAGAAAGTGATCTATTTGCTGAGCCTGAGAAATACAGGAGACTGATTGGAAGGTTGTTGTATCTGAATCTAACACGACCAGATATATCATACACAGTTCAGCAACTTAGTCAATTCTTGAATGCACCAAGGATCAACCATATGCAAGCTGCACTCTTCCTTTTCGTTATCTGAAACATACTGCCAACATTGGATTATTTTATCCTGCAAATTCACAATTTGAGTTGTCAGCATATTGTGATGCAGACTGGGGTTCATGCTTCATGACTGGAAGATCACTATCAGGATATTGCATCTTTATGGGAAGATCATTAATATCCTGGAAAACAAAGAAACAGAAAACTGTGAGTAAATCCACAGCTGAATCTGAATACATAAGTATGAGTTACACTGTTTCTGAAATTGTATGGATTGATGGATTACTGAATGAACTGAATGTACAGATTCCAAAACTCATTCCTTTATATTGTGATAATATGGCAGCTCAACACATTGTTGAAAACCCAGTATTTCATGACAAAACAAAGCACTTACGCATTGATTGTCATTACATCAGAGAAAGATTTCAAGGACTCTTGAAACCATACCATGTTCATACAGGATCTCAAATTGCAGATGTATTGACAAAGGCTTTGGGAGTTAAACATCATCAGCAATTCATTTCCAAGTTAGGCCTTGTTAACCAAGTCTAACTTGAGGAGGGGATGTGGAATATAGCTTAGCATAGTTTAATTGTAATAGCTGACGTGTAATGCTTCTAGTATATTCTTTAGAATACTGTTAGCAGTTTGTTACACATCTGTGTGTATAAATACTGATCAGGATTGTATACACTGATAGTTTTTCTCCGTTATAACCAACCGAACTCCATTAATGGAAACTTTGATTTTCTTCATCTCTTTCTTTAGTTTTTGATTTCGAGAGTATCCTTGTTGGCTGAAGCGGCCGGAATATATATATATATATATATATATATATATATATATATATATATATATATATATATATATATATATATATATATATATATATGGCGTACCGTAGTTACTACTTACTAGTAGTATATGTATATATATCAATAAAAAAATTAATACGGAGTAAATAATAATTTTTGGATATAATTAAAACTTTTTACAAATAATACGACCTCTTTAATTACATATTAAAGTACAATACGTAGTATATTTACTAGTTACTAATAAAGCAACTTTAATTATATTATCGACTTGTAGATTCATAACAACCTAATTTATATCTATTTAGTTCTTAACTATCTAACTATCATACTTCATTCTAGCAATTGTATTTACTCCGTATGCATGGTTTATACTACCTTATTAATTCTTACATAACTGCAAAAAAACACGGAGTTAGTCACGGATTTAGTCACGGACCATAGTATAAAAAATCCGTGACTAACTACGCTAGTCACGGACTTTTTCCGTGACTAAATCCGTGACTGTTTGGGCGTGACTAATTCTAGTCACAGCCGTTTTTCCGTGACTAAGCGTAGTCACGGATTAATCACGGACCCTATCCGTGACTAATTTGTAACCGGAATAACCACACCGGTGACTTAGTCACGGCCTCTATCCGTGACTAAATTTAGTCACGGACCAATCCGTGACTACTTTTTCAAATTTCAAATGTGACCGCCAGTTTAAATTTTCAAAATTTTAAATTTAGTCACGGACGAGATCCGTGACTACTTTTTCAAATTTCAAATGTGACCGCCAGTTTAAATTTTCATAATTTTAAATTTAGTCACGGATGAGATCCGTGACTACTTTTTTTTTAAAAAAAAACATTTTAAAATTTTTAAAATAATTTTAAAAAAAACCGGTCTAGAATTTAGTCACGGCTTAGATCCGTGACTAAATTTTTTTATTTTTAAAAAAAAAGTTTTTTTGTTTTAAAAAAAAATTAAATTTATTTTTCAAATTTTCTTTAGAAAAGTTTATTTTTAAAAAATAATTGTAGAATAAAAGTAATAAACAGACTAGTAGAACACACATTTCATCCATAAACAGACTGAAATAAAAGTAATAATAAACACAATACAAATATAGTAAATAAACAATGTTCAATTAAAAATGTATATCATTTACAAGCTCCTCCGACTACCATTATGATAATATCTAGAATCATCGTATAGATAATCTTCTTCGTCTCATCTTCTCGGTTGCTTCCACCTTGGCCTTCTCGGTTGCCACCACGATTGCCCCCTCCGCGACTGCCTCCTGCTTGGCTGCCTCCAGATGTTTGAAACAGGTTATGAAAATTGATATCCTGAAAAGAACCATATATATGAAGGCAACCCGGAAGCAGAGTTGGAACGGAAATAACCGCCCATCTGCGGAACTTGAGGAGTCTGCTCGGGGTGCAGTATATACGGCTGAGGCTGATTCCGAATTCCGGCGCTGAGGATCCGTTCCATCGCTTCCAGCCGGGCTCTTGTTTCTTCGTCCTTTTTGCGTTGCTCCTCCAACTCCCGCTGCATTTGAGCGATACGTGGATCCTCTCCGCTCCTTGATCGAGAAGATGAAGCGCCGCTGCGGTCGTACAAAATCCGTTGCCCCTCGGCCCCCATGCACGGTGTCACGCCCCAGACCGCAATCCAAGCGCGTGTACAACCGCCGTATAATCAAGTGACGTCACCCGCGAGTCAACCTCACTTGATTACACAAGGCGTTCGAGAAAAATAATCCATCCATACTCAGTAGTAAACATACATAACAACATCACATTTAAACCAATGAATAGCGGAAATATTCAACGGTAAGTCATAAGCCACAACCGGCCAATAACATGGGCATGCAAGCCCCAAAAGAATAGTTTATAACAGATAAAAATATCCATGAGCAATGTTTGGAAATTTGAAATAAAATGAGGAAGCACGAACCACGTCTTCCTTGATTTGATGTCACCCGTAAAAAGGTGCAGGTAGCAAGCCCTAGCTTCAACCTGAAAATGGTGGGGCCCCCCGAAGGGGTCAGTACAAGTACCGAGCGAGTAGCAGGCTAAATATAGAATAACTAGCGTTTCAAGTATAAGACCCAAACATAGGATGATACATATACGTATAGTCCTTCCCCCAAGTTTGAAATACATATTAGTATACATACACTTGGAAATACCCGACCCGTAGGTCATTGTTTATTTGGGAAAATAATAATAGCCAATGTCCTTGACTTAAATCCCAACCCACCCATATACCTATGAGTGTATAGAACTCCTCCCTGTTCAAATAAATTATCATAAGGACACCGCCCGGTCCTAGATCATTAAATGTAATCTATGAGTTTTGAGGATACACGCCCGATCCTTGGGTACTCCACCCTATAACCGAGTTTTGAGGATACCGCCCGATCCTTGGGTACTCCACCCTATATAACCGAGTTTTGAGGATACCGCCCGATCCTTGGGTACTCCACCCTATATAACCGAGTTTTGAGGATAACCGCCCGATCCTTGGGTACTCCACCCGACCTATGACTTACCACATATCACGCTAGATAGGGTCTATATCATATTTAGTCATTCATAACTAATTCACTACATAAGGCTTATGCATCACAATCCATGCAAATCCATGCAACCATATAAATGTATAATTAACTAACATCAACCGATATTAATTAATCCATTAACCATCGGTCAACGTTGTTGTCGACCGCCATCTCAAATCTTACACTTATTAACTAATTCATCATATAATTAAGTTAATAATATCCATTTGTGCTTCTTTTACTCTTAAAGCAAATATGCATATATATATATATAATTTCTCATATTATATTCCATGCATAAATAATTAATTCCTTTCATACAAAGCTTAACCCTATTGGCTAATCACATGTTTAAATATCTTTTAAACATTATTATGAATTCATATAACATTTATTTAGGTAATCTCATAATTGACCCAAAAGTTATAAGATATTAAGCCGTCCACTCACCTTGAACTAGCGTATGAAGTTCTACCCTTCTTGGTTGAACTCCGGTGAAACTCCGGCGACTTTTGGTCAACTCCGGCGACAATTCCGGCGACTTTTCCAACTTTGTGAAATCACTTGAAACACCCTTTACAAGTTCCTAACAAGGTTTTATAATCATAAAACCCATGTTAATACCAATAACCTCAAAAAGGTTATTTTCCGGTGAACCGGTCGTTTTGGCTTCTAAGTCCGTTCTTGGACATAGAACCACCTTCCAACCCATAAATCCATACTTATAACATGTGGAATCATACTAAGGGTCCTTTACATGATATATACCTCATATGATAGAAGGAAAATAAAGGAAAAGTTATAATAAGGTTATTACCTTAATTTTACACACTTTTCCTAGCCTTTTTCCTTCTTTAATCCCACTCCTTGGACCCTTCTTGGTTGAGCTCGAGTTGCAGCAATGGAGGAGGGTTGGAGAGCTTTTTCTTCCTCTTTCTTGGGGTCTTGGGCGAGCACAATGAGGAGGAAGGAGGGGGGATGGGTTGTTTTTGTCTCATTTAGCTAATAAGTGAGAGAGGGACCCCTTGGGTGTCTCTCAATGTCTCACCCTCCCATCATGTGTACTATTGGCCTTCCTTTGGTCAATTTGAGCACACAAAAACGTGGGGTGGCCCCCACTCATGTGGGAGGTCATCCCTTTGTGTCCCGGTGTGTACAATTGGTCCCGAAAGTTGTATTTTTCGGACTGTTTTAAATATATTTTATTTTATCGGGTCAAATAAAATATATTATGTGCTCTTACTCATTATTACATGTATAATGAATATACATCCCCCAACTTTAATTTATAAGCCTCCGAAATTCAGTTCGGGCTGTTATCTGACAAATTATCGGTACCGGTAATTGGACCTCTTTTTCCCAATCGGTCAACTCTGCGCCTTTCCACGACCCAAATAAAATATCCACCACTATATAAATATTATCTTGACTAAGATGAATAAAATATGTGGTCTCGGGAGTGTCGGGCGGTCCCCGCTCCCGGTGTGGGTCCCACGTGCAATTTACTATTCACGCGAAAGAAATAATAAAAATTTACAACTTCGTAAATTCATTAATTCTTTAAGAAGGTTCAATACATTATTTACATAAAAGTAAATATATTTGGGGACGGTGTTACACACGGAACCCGGCCTTTGCACACCCCAGCTGCCTCAACGATGGCTTCATCTTCCACATCAGAATCAATCTCATCCTCCTGAGTCAAGCCTAATTCCGCCCGCTTCTTCTCAACATTTGTGTTATACTTCGTCTACATGTACAAAAATTGTTAATTTAATGTTACTCAATTCGATTTTGAATGGTACCAAGTAACAAAATAGATGTTACTTACTTCGATTTCAGCGAGGCGGGGTGGCAAATCGGCTTCCGACTCATCGCCGTGCTTTGTCCAGCAATGCTTAGTGACCTTGAGAATTGAGACCTTCTTCTTCTCAGGCCCCGCCTACATAGTTCCAAAAAAGACTTAAGATCCATAAGTAAATGTAAAAATGAAGGGTTGTAATAATGGTATAAGGTTTTTTGAATAAGACTTACAAGATCTTCTTTATGTTTACTCTGAGGTTTACGGCCCCCATGCCATTGGGTTTCCAAGGCCTTCTCGGACATCCGGTTTTTCTTACCGGATTGACTTCTTGCCAAGAAGTTCGGATCAGAAGACCAGTGACGGACGAGGTTAGCCCACACCTCATCCGAACACCATCCAGGCCTTACCCCGCTCGTTCGGGCACGCCTAAAAGTAGGACGAAGCCAGTTTGAAATCCTAGCGTTATACGCTTTAAGAATAGCGGGACCTTGGGCTTCAGTCCATCGAAACCAGACCTTTATAAAAAACAAATAAATTAATTTATCTTTTATCAAATGTTACGTTAATACAATTACGCAGAGAAAATTCATTTTTTTTTTACCTTGAACAGGTTCCACCAAAGTTCACGATCCTTGGGGTCAACTTCCGTGTATGTTGCCCAGTTCCTAAGAAAGTGTCCTCCAATTATCAGTTTGATTTGGTCCAACACATCTTGATCGCTTCAAAAAATTAATAATATTTATTTATAAAAGTTTTGATTACATTATGTAAAAATTGAAAAAAATTATTTGACGTTAGATAAAATTCATAGTTACTTACTTTGCAACCATGTGAGGCGTCACCCAAAGCGCATTTTCATTGTTGCGCTCAGCTTCAGTTAAGGGCACATAGTTTGGGCGGACACGCGAGGTCGATTGTTCATTGCTCATCTAAAATATATTAATTTATATTTTTAACTGTTAGTGTGATTTATAATTTTATCAATTGAAAATGTGTATATCATATTAAACTGTGTGTAAATTTAATATGAGGGTGGTAATTTTATAAATAAATTTTTTTATAACTCTAAAATAAATTGTTCTTAAAGGTAACATGTTAAACTTTTAGGCAAGTTTACATGAGGGAACATAATTTATTTTGAAAATTTAAATATATGTGTTTTTTTTTACTTTTTATAAGGATGTTAAAAAATTCATTTTATTGCATTTGTCGTACTAATTTTTAACTTTTTATATTTATAAAAACAGTTTTTTATAAACAGTTTTACAAAAAATTGTTTTATAAAACAGTTTTATATAAAAACAGATTTGTATAAACTGTTTTTATACAAAACAGTTTTATATAAAAACGGTTTTATTTATAAAAACTGTTTTATAAAAACAGTATAATATTTAAAATACCAGTCTAATAAATTATAAAAACAGTTTTATAGGAAAAACACTTTATAAATTGTTTTATTGTTTTATAAATTATAAAATACCAGTGTTATATTTTTTTATGTCAATTTTAATAAAAAAAAATATTTATTAGTACACCTCATTTTTAGTAAACTTCATAAAACCGGTTAATTAAACTGTTTATTAATCACTTTTTATTAAAATCTGTTTTTATTAAACTGTTTTTTATTAAATTGTTTTTTATCAAACTGTTTTTTATTAAATTGATTTTTATCAAACTGTTTTTTTTTATTAAACTGTTTTTTTATCAAACAGTTTTTTTATTAAACAGTTTAATAAAAAAACAGTATATTATTAAACTGTTTTTTATAATCTATATTTTATATTTTATTTCGGAAAACAGTTTTTAATGTCTAAATAAATATTTTATAATTAACATGTCAAATTTTTTTGGAAGTTTGACATGAGGGGGTATTTTTTAAATAATTCGGAACTAATAAATTTGATTGATGATAAAATAATAATAATCCTAACAATGTCTAAATAATTCATGCATAAGTCCGAAATTAAATCATGCATTTGATTGAAAAAACATGCATGTTGTTTAACCTAAAATTAAATCATATTTAGGCATGCATATTAAACTTATACACAAAAAATCAAATTGAATCAAACTATATCTAAAGCATGCGTATTAGAAATCAAACAAAAAAGAAAAAATAAATTTTATCAACTTTGAGCATGCAAATTAATATTTTAATTCGAAATTAAAACAAAACTAATAATCGTGGAGAGATTAATATTGAGCATGCAAATTAATATTGTAATGTGAAATTAATATTACAATATTACAAAATTAATATTGTAATGCGAACATAATAATAACATGCATTTGTGTGTATAAACGTAAAAACATATACACATATAATCATATTAAATGTATATACACATAAATATGTAATTGTAGAATAAATCATTAGGGCATTCAATTTTCAATAATGCATAGGAGCATATAAACATGCATTTGAGTACATAAACATGCATTTGTGAGTAAAAAATTAATTGAGAAAACATAACTTTGATGTGGAGAGAGAGGTGCGAAAAAAGAGGAGTGGTGGACGACGGCAGTGGACGGCGGCAACCGGCGGCGGACAACGGCAGTGCACGGAGGGCGGCGGCAGCACTGCACTCAGGACGGCGGCGGTGGAAGGGGAAGTTAGAAGGGAAAGAGTTTGAGAGGAAAATAGGGTTTGGAAGCGTAGGTTAGGAAAAAATCGCTAAGTGTTAGTTTTATATATGAGGGAGTAGTCACGGATTTAGTCACGGATATTTCCGTGACTAAACCCTTCGTAATCAACGAAATCAGCCACGCGGCATCAGTCGCCTTTGACCGGTTTAGTCACGGTCTTATCCGTGACTAAAACCGTGACTAAATTCAAAATTTGAATTAGTCACAGTCTTAGTCACGGATAAGACCGTGACTATACCGGCGGCCCTGACACCTCGCCGGCTGCCAGTCTGACAGGTTAGTCACGGATAAAGCCGTGACTAAGACCGTGACAACTTAAATTTTTTCAGTATAAATCATCCTTCTCCGGCCCAAGAAAGAATGGTGTGGAAAAAAGATGGCTAATAGAGATCCAATTGACTGGGATTCCATGTGTAGAGGTATGAAACGACTTAAGCTAATTACAGAGCTTATGGAGCCGAAAACCGTTGAAGCATACGAGAGAATCAAGGAGTTGATGTCTATACCCCTTGAAAGTTTTGGCGATTATAAAGATGAGGAATCCGACTCATTCGGCAAGTCAAGAGCAAAAAACTTGTGTCGGATGCTTCAACGTGCACAAGAATGTTCGGAGTATATGGACCCGATCAACGAAGAAGCTCGAAGGAAAATTCACGAGTTGTGGGCTAGGCCTCTTGAAAGTTTCCGGTTGAGGAATGAATAATGTTAGTTAGGTTAATGTGATAAATAAATTGTGGGTTTTGTACTTATCTTTGAAATTTGATAAATAAATCTGTGTTAGTTGTTTATTAATATCTAAATTTATTATAATATTCAGATTAGTAAAAGTAAATTACTTTTTTTTTTAATTTTCGAATTTTGTTAATTTAATATACTTAGAATTATTAAAATTAATTTTCGAATTTCGAATTGTAAAAAAATTATTAAAATTAATTTTCGAATCTAGAATTATTAAAATTAATTTTTGAATTTTCGAATTTTTTGAATTGAAAATAAATATTTTTTGTTTTGAATTTTTAAAGTTTTGTTACATGGATATAATATGGAGTAATTTTAAATTTCGTATTGTGGAAATTTTAATTTTTAAACTTCAAATTGTTAAAAATTATATTTTGAATTTATAATAAACAAGTTTGATATAACAAACTTGTTGTTGTTGAATTATTATGGAGTAATTTTTTGTTCATAAATAATACTACCTCCGTCCCACTAAGATTGGGACAAGAGAAAGTGGTACAGTTATTAAGAAAAGTGGGATTGTATGGTTGATATTAAATTGATAAAGTAAAAATAAAGTAAGAATGGTTTAGAGCCACACAAACTTTACCAAATTTGGTATGAGACAATCTTAGTGGGATTTCCCGAAAAGGTAAAATGGGACAATCTTAGCGGGACGGAGGGAGTAATGATGAAGAAAAAAAATCAAATATTGTTGGA